GGAACACATACCTTTATGTGTTAAACCTCAGAACCTGACTGGAGCAGACCTGTTAACTAGCTCGAGAACGTTTGTATGCAGTTCAATTAAGTCAAAAGCCAAGGATCAACATTGGTCTTGGTTCTGTTACCCAAAGACAACAACAAACTCACCCTACAATGTAAAGAGCCTTTTTAATGCAGGAAGTGGTCAATAGAATAGACCATAAAGTGAAAGAGGATGGGAAAACCATGATCTACCACACCAATCTGTTGAAGAGGTACTTCAATAGGAAAGAAGATCTAACAGGTGGAGCTATGGAGGCACAGATGGAAATTGCAGGTGAGGCTGTCATTGACATAGAAACAGACGATGGCGATTTTGTCACAGAAAATGAAGTCCTACTAGACCTAAGACTGCTGGGTGTAGATGAGACACACAATGACATCAACATCAGTGAAGAACAGACTGGCAAGCAGATGTAAAAGCTACTGGGTCAGTATCCAGATAGATGTCTTCACAGACAGACCAGGGAACACAAGATCAAGACCACGAACTGGGATCCTGTCAAGGTAAAGCCCTTCCAGACCTGATCAAGCATGAAGTCGAGATAATGTTATAAGCTAGAATCATTGAGCCTTTGAATTCAGCTAACTGTTCACCAGTGGTAATCATGAAGAAGCAGAATGGCTTAAACTGCTTCTACATAGACTTTCAGAAGCTGAACCTTGTGATGAAGTTTGATCCCAAACCTATAAGCAACCAAGAGGTTATCATGGTGAAAATAGATGAGGCCAAGTTCTTTATCAAGATTGGCCTCAATAAAGGTTAGTGGCAGATCTCGATGGAGACAGAACCTAAAGAAAAGACAGCTTTTGTGACACTTATGAATGTTACCAGTTCAAGAGGATGCTGTTTGGTTAATCAACTCAGCAGCAACATTCAACTGCATGATGAGGAAGATGTTGCACAAAACCACTAACATCGAGCATTATGTGGATGACATTCTGACCCACACAGCCAGATGGGAAGATCATCTGATGAAACTCAGAGAGCTGTTTGACAGCAAGTTTGACCATCAGACCATCTAAGTGTGTTATTCTGTGCTGTTTTATTGGACACAAGGTGACTGACCAACAGATAGCCATGGAAGAGGAGAACCTAACCTGCACAGAAGATACACAAGCTCCTATGACCAAGCAGCAAGTCAGATCCTTCCTGGAGGTTAATGAGATACTATAGGAAGTTGATCCCAAACTATGCTGAAGTTGCTGCACCACTGACTACCTGACTAAGACAGGCCAACCCATCAAAGTGAAGAGGGAACAATTACAGCAGATGGCATTCCAGAAGTTGAAGAACATGTTAGGAAGTTCACCAATCTTTAAAATGCCACACTGTTCATCGTTCAGACTGATACATCAGACGTTGGAATTGGAGCAGTACTTCTGCAAGAACATGTAGAAGGTCTGTTTCCTGTAATTTACGTCAGTAAAAAGCTGTTGAGTAGTGAGAAGAACTACACTGTGATTGAACAAGGGTGTCTGGCCATCATATTTGTCATCCAGGAATTCAAAACTACCTTTACAGGAAGGAGTTCTTCATCCAGACAGACTATCAGCACCTTGCAAACATCTAGAGGTGCAAATTCGACAGTGCAAAGATCATGAGATAGGTATTGTACCTCCAGAACTACTGGTTCAGCATTGAGGCCATCAAGAGGACTGCAAATGTTGATGCAGATCATACGAGTAGACTATGTGCATGAACTGAAAACAGTTTTTGTATATAGTATAAAAAAATATTGTAAATATTTTTCTTGAAAAGGAGCCTATTGTTAAATATACATGACTGTTACAATTTAAGTATAATTTGAGTGTTATAATTTACATACTTTATATAGTGCAAGTGTTAAATTTAGCTATTTTTAGAAGTGATAGTTTATCACAAGTATATTTAATTCAATAGTTATGAATTGGTAATTGTTATACAGTGTTGTATTCAATAAACCTAAGATCCTGTTTCCTTTGAAGTCCTTTGGGGAAATATTATCAGACCCAGGAGATTTATCATTCTTTAAACTTCTCAGTTTTCAGTTTTCTCAACAAGTTCAAAATTAATGTGACCATCTTCTTTGATCCTGTTTCCATCTAGCAACTGTTCAATATGAGGAATATAGCTTAAATTTTCATGAGTGAAAACTAAAGAAAAAGTTGAGTTTATCAATCCAGCTTTCTCATAATCATCAAATATGAACCTTCCTGTATCATACCCTAAAAGGTCCTACACCCATCCTAGCATATTAATTTTTACATTTTCAGTCAACTTTTTTGTTTTGTTTTTCAATTTCCTAATTTCCTGCTTGACTAGCTCTATTTATCTTTTATAATTTTTCAAGTCTCCTATCTTAGCAGGCAATCTAAACTTCTTTAATTTAAATAAGGTAACCTATTGTTACCTATTGGTCCATCTCGATTGTTCTATCCTTTACACTGAATTAAAATCATTAAAATAAATCAATAAATAACTAAAATCAAACTTATAAAAATTCTTAAAGCCAGCCCTTATCAAGTTTTTTCTTAAACTCACTTAAAATTACTGCCTCTACAGCATCTAAAGTAGCAATCCATTCCAAAGGCCAGCCTCTCTGTAAGAAAAATGAAACTGTCTTAGGTGAAGATGACTCCTACCTTGCCCCAATTTATATTTGTGGCCCCCTAGTCCTTCTATTCTCATTGTTAAATATAAAAAAATTATGCATCAACACTATCAATTCCCTTTACAATCTTAAACACCTCAATTGGATCCCTCCTAACTCTTCTTTTTCAAGAGAAAACAACTTGAGAGATTTCATCTTCTCCTCATATGACAACCCCTCCATCCCAGGCAACCATTCTGGAAACCCTTCTCTGAACCTTTTCCAACAATTCAATGTCTTTCCTAAGGTAAGGAGCCCAAGACTGAACACAATATTCAAAATGTGACCTAACTAGTGACCTGTACAATGAAAGTATAACCTCTTTAGACTTGTATTCAATACTTCTATAGATACAACCTGAAATCCTATTTGCCCTACCACTAGGAACAGCACACTGCTTGGATGGCTTTAGAGACTGATCGATTATTACACCGAGATCTCTTTCCTTCATAACACTATTAAGGATATTCCCATCAAAATTATACTTATAATTCAAATTATGATAACTCACCCACATGCATTATCTTGCATTTATTATATATAAAACCATCTGCCATTTATTTGCCAAACTCACTAAATGATCTAAATGTAAATCCTTTTGTAAATCAGCAGCATTCTCTTCACAGCTAGCAACACCTTAATATCATTTGCAAATTTAAGTAATTTATTGACTATTCCTTCATCTATGTCAT